GTAGGATAACGTTTTGAGGGATACATTAGGGGGCGAACAAAAACACTAGGGGATTTAATGAGAAGCTTACTTTAATTCGCCAAAATTACTGAATATAGAGCCAATTTTACATAGAACATGAAGTTTTTAAACTTTGCTAAACTTTTCTATTCAAACTACGCAGAGAACCTAATCATTTAGTGTATTGATCGTTTATTTACGACCCTTCTGTAGAAATTCAGCATGCATTTTCTTCTACTATTCAAACCGTAATTCAGTTAACAATTTACGTTATATATATTCAGGATTACAATTTTACAACAATGGTTAAAGATTAAGACGGATACACCTTTCATATTCAGTTGATCACTTACATTAAAAAGACTCCATAATAAAAAATAACAAATACAAAATTTTCATAGAAATATTTACTAAACATTAATACAAACATTAATTAACTTTGGGGAACACCTAGTACAGAGTTGGCGAAATATAATGCACAGGCGAGGCATGGCTTTTCCAACATATTAATAAACTGCATTTTACAAAACTTGGGATCAAAACTAGTAATTGACTATTCTAACTATGCTTGCAAAAATTGATTTTTCTCTGAAAAATAATCTTGGTATCCGTCTGCAGCATCGGAGCCAAGACTTGGACGTAAGTTAGTGAGGTAAGATACACGCGGCGGACCACGTGGGGTGGAGGGGTGTGGAGGAGGGTGGTGTAAGGAGGAACCCCACGCAGGACTTGCAACGCTCAGCCCGGGAGGCGCACGTTTTGTATTCCGGAAAACGTGCTTTTAAAAGAAATAGTTACATAAGACTAGGCTTCGTGATGCGTATAAGTAGGAGAATTACTAAGATGCTCTTGGGAGATGTTAGTTGCCTTTTGTATGGGGTGTAGACTGTAGAGTAAGGGGTGTTTTTGTAGACTATTAAAGATTTGTAATCATTTGTATATTTGATTCAAAATCCTGATTTTGATACTGCTGGATTATTTATTAAAAATAAAGAATTATTGTCTTACATACATCATCAATTAAAGATGAAACCTCTGTGGATAAATATTTCGCTTAACATTTATACCAAATCAATTTGATCAAGTAAAGCTTTCATTAATATAAATAATACACTAAGCTAGTGTTTTATTTAATTTAAAATGCATACAAAAGCCAATGGAATTAAATACAACTCAAACATTTATTTGAAACCTTTTCTCCAAACCATGTTTTATAAAGGCTTCGAGTGGCGCGTATTGTCTTATGTTATCAACGTAGAAATTGAATCAATAAATGAAGTATTAATAATTTGTCCACTGATTTACATGACAATGCAAATATAAAAAAAATTAGGATAATATAACTAATTTTTGAAAATGTAATTGGAATTTAAATTTTAATGACACTAGATAGTGGAAAAATACACCCTGAGCTATATTTGGAAACACAAAATAATTATATGTAGATATAAAACATGAAATCGAGGATAATTTTATTTATGAAGAACTATTATACTTTTGTCGGCTTCTGGATTCAAACCTTTAGTAGTACAATAAATAAATGTACGAAAATGATTGAAGTCGCCACTCGGTTACAGCAACTCTACAATTCAACGTAACCTTGAACCTATATCTGTATCCGTATGGGAAGTTGTCCACGCCCAAAGTGACCTTGACAATGTTATGCAAGTATACACAATGCAAGTCCAGTTAACATTACCCAAATAGCCCACCATTGTACTGCATAAACCTACGTAATACTTGTGGGGTCCGACCGCTGCAAATAGCATTAATTGTGTCTTGGCACCCCTGTCACCAGAGGTGTAACAGTAAAACCCTCCCCTGGGGGGAGGGGTTATTTTCCATGTAACATTACATTCTCCGTAGACCTATTTTAGTGTACCAAACGAAAAATATTTTTACAAATTAAATTAGTACAATCATTACATGCAAATGAAAACTTTACTTCATTTTATTTCGATACAAATTTAAATTTTTGAAAACACCGTGAAATTTAAAATATGAATATTACCGAACTAACAAAGTGGAAATAAATTTATTGGAATAATAAAATTGAAAATACAAAAACATAGTCTAAAATCAAACAGTTAGATGAAAGTAATTGAATAAAACAAAATAATTTAAACTAAATCGCTTAGCTAATTAGTTTTTAGAATCGAACTTAATTTGTAAAAATTGGTTTGGAATATTAAAAAGACTCATTTTTCATAGCTACTGTATGTATTTTTATTTAGCTAAAGACCGCTCAAAAGTTACTATGAAGCTTAAAAAATAAAAAATTAACTAGATGCTTTACATCTAATTCAATCATCTAATTCAGGATTGTACAAAAAGTAGGCCTATTTGTGCCTTATGCCATGTTCGTATTTTTACAGACTTATTATTTAAGGTTATTATTTTGTACATTTTGTACAATTATCAATCATACAAAGGAAAAAATATAGATTAATTTTGAATTATTGCTTCTCATATGAATTGATTGCAAAATAAAAGGATAGTCAAGAGTAATGTATAAAAAAATATTAAAACATTACTTACAAGTCTGAGCATGTTGTCTGGTGTGTTGTGCCTCGAAGGATCGACTGCGCAATAAGTTGTAGATCAGTGCGCAGGCTTATATACCGCGCCTGCGCTCACGACCTCGTGGCAAACCCTGTGTTGTTCCGGCCGCGCGCACACTGGGCGAGAGGGTTGGGGTTGAATACAAGTAATATGCTCTTAAAACTGTTTTAAAACTTATTCAACCAGTAATATAATTTGCTATTATGGGAGGGGGGAGGTCTGTAAAAAATATAGGGCTGTGCGAATTGATCATGTTAGTGGTTTTATTCATACAGAGAAGAAACAGTATACTGTAGATAGAGAAAAAGATTAAATGACAGGACACAAGATAGCGCCAACACTATTTGTTTTGTACTTGGTTCAAGACCTAAGTTTAAAAAAGAAATAAACAAACAATAATAACTTGAGTAAGGTCTGTGAAAAGGAAACTATGTTTGTGTGTACATAAATTTGCGGTGTGTGTGTTTTTTTTAATGCACATTAAAAATATCATGTAAAAATAAGAGGAAATTGACCTTCAAAGAACAATTTTGCAAAAATTGGCACTAAGTTAGTTTAGGAGTTTATTCTGATTAGGATTGAGGTATACAACTATTATTAAAAACTAAAAAATAGTACTGTATGCTGCAAAATAATCCAATTTTATAAAACGTAGAAGATATGGTATAGCTCGTATGGCTAATACCAAACATAATTTTTCAATGGAGGCTTATTAAAATGATATTGCTGTAGAGAAATTTAAACTAAAAAGTTAGTAAAACCACGCTTTTAAATGCAATAGTAATTTTAGACTCAGGTTTTACATAGTATAAATTTTGTAACCAAAATGTGTACAATTTATCTTTGAACTGTGGCAATATCATAATAAACAACGTTTTACTGAGGTCCGATCAATATTTATTGAAAATAATTGTAAAATATTATAATGAACCCTGTAGAACGTAAGTTAATAAATAACAATATTAACACCACTAATTAAAATATCGTAAAGTTATTTTTTTCAATCTCTAACAAACCGGGATTGCCGAATTCAAACATCACCGTTTTTATTTCCCTCAAACATACCTCAACAGTCTCGGTTGTTATCAAGATAAGCCAGGGCTATTTACTGCTGCAGCAGAAGGGGAGGGGGATGGTTGTGTTATCAGTTATCCAACCCAGGGTGATAATAGCTTGCCATTGTCCTGCTGATGTCCTGTGTATTTGTGTCCTGTATTCTGCGGCGTGGCCTAGACAACAGCTCTGTTTACCTACGTAATTCTGCGTAACTTGTGTAACCCGGACGATAAGGGGTGACAATCAGGTCATGTAATGAGGCCATACAAGGTCATACATTAGTAGATAAAAAGTATTTTTTACGTCTGAATTGGTTTATAGAAGGGTTTTGAGTTAGTTTGGAGGAAAATGAAAATCATTGGTAAATCTATTTGTGTCAAAAAAAAAAAAAATCTCCATAAGGGTAGTTTAATTTGTTGAAGGTAATTTAAATTACATACGAAAAGTAGCATAACCAAGATTGTGTGAATAAGGTTTAAGGTTGTATCGTTATATTTTATACACAATTAATTCCTTTTAACTGCCAAACAAGGAAAATTCAATCTTTATATGTGATAAAGTTGAATTATCCCTGGCCATAACACCAAATTAGCCACAATTGTGAATATCAGCCTAATGATGAAGTTTACCGAGAAGCCAGACAATTTTCTACACCATGTTGGATTTAAATCCACGATATTAACTGTGATAATTCTGCTGGCAAGCTTTAATTTAACTTAAACTTTCTTTAAAAAATGAGGTTGGTTAAAAAAAAATGTACTCGTGAGAGTGACTTAATGTTATAATAACTTTACTAAATAAAAGAGAAAACTAAGCTGTAATTAAAACATATTAGCATTGTTATTTAAAAATGATAAAATGTTTCTTGATACAGTACCTCTAGCCCGGACAACCACTATTGCACGGCCGGTGCAATCTCCTCTTACGGTATGAAGAAAGATCTCATTTTTTCAGAGAGAACATTCTTACAACCTAACTTTTCAATCATAATGGTTGAGGTAAAGATATTTTTATTAAAAAAAAATTATGAAAATTAGGTTGAAACTTTTAGTTTATTGATTTGGTGTTTTATAAACAAAATAAATAGTTTATTGAAATTATATTGGTTTATTATTGAGTTTATGAACTCTCAGATTATTGATGTTAATAGTTGGTTTTTGTGCTTGTGATATAAATTAGTCATCAGCTGTTTGATATTGTGAACATTTTTATTTGTTTATCTTTGGATGATTTTTATTGATTCTTGTTGTCAAGGAGAAATCAATATTTTCCAGAGTTGGATTGTTCTGATGTGTAGAAAATGTTAGTTTGTTAAAGCATTAAATATCTTAATTATTTTTTTTAATTTGCATGTTGATTTAATTACAAGCTATTTCGGCATAATGTCAGGTACTGGTGTTAAGTTCTCAGACTTGATTAAGCAGTATGATGGAAGTGGTGATTTTAGTGAGTGGTTAAAGAAACTAGAATTGGTATGTAAGCTCCAAAAGGTGAAAGACTTGCAGACAGTTCTCCCCCTATTTTTGGCTGGAGGAGCATTTTCTGTGTATGACGGGCTAGCAGAAAATGTAAAGAGTAACTATGAGGCTCTCACCAATGCATTGCTGCAGGCCTTTTCTGCGAACTGTTTTCAGGCTTATGCAGAATTTACAGCTAGGCGTCTACTTCCCGGTGAGTCACTAGATGTATATGCTTCTGATTTGAAGAGACTGGCAAAATTGGTGGACCCTTTTGTATCTGATGAGTGGATTAAGAGCGCAGTTGTACATGGCTTGCCAGAAGATACTCAAACCCAGTTGAAAGCTGCGTGTTCTCTTCAAAGCATGGAGTTGTCGGATGTAATGACAAGAGCTAGGAATCTGTTGGGCAGTGAGTCAAACTTTGGGGCGGTTGCACAGGCTAATGCCAAAGTTTTCAAAGTTGGTAAACAGTGGTCTAAAAAATGCTTTGTTTGTGAGAGGGAAGGCCACGTAGCACGTTCGTGTCCCCATCTAAATCGTGAGTCAAAAGTAACCTGTTACCGGTGTGGGGAGGTAGGACATTATGCCTCAAAATGTTCACAAATTCCAAAAAACGAGTGAATGGGGCTGCCTTATGTTGCGCGGGTGGCCCAATTTCTTCAGCGCAACTCCCTACATTAACAATAAGTGTGTCGGGTTTTAAATGCTGTGCCTTGCTGGACTCAGGTTGTTCAAGGAGCATTGTGTCACCTAGTTTAGTGAAATATGGAGTAGAACTGAAGCCAGTAAGTCAAAGGATTATAATGATGAATGGAGAATCAGTTGAGTGTAACATGACATGTATGTTACAAGTTTTGATAAGAGGTGTTCCGCTCAAACTGAGTTGCTTGGTTGCCAGTGTATTGCCAAGGTATCAGATGCTTCTAGGGATGGATGCAGTGACTGCAATGGGAGGTGTCACTATTGATGGAGATGGCACTATTACGTTCAGGGACGTTGGTATCGGAGCGATGGCTGAGGCCAAGAAGGAGCTGTGCGTGAAGGAAACCTCGGAGAATGGCAACGATGAGATCGCTATTAATGATTGTGACTTTAATGCGAAATTTGTTGATGGAAAATGGACTGTTGAATGGAATTGGAAAGATGGCGGTAAAACACCTAAGATAAATAACCAAGTACCTTCATACTCAATTTCAAAAGAGGCAAGGGAGGCGTTTGACGCTGAAGTGCATGATTGGATAAGAGACGGTTGGCTCCAGCCTTATGACGGGGAGTTTGATGGCTTAATTCCTTTAATGGCGGTCGTGCAACATAACAAGGACAAAGTGCGACCTGTAATGGATTACAGGGAATTAAATCAGTATGTCTCAAGCCATACAGCAGAAAGTGAGGTTTGTGGGGAAAAGCTAAGGATGTGGAGAAAGCTAGGAGAACATGTGAGCACTATCGACCTTCGTAAGGCATATCTCCAAATCCATATTGCTCCTCATTTATGGAAATTCCAAGTGGTCCGATTTAAGGATAAGAATTATTGTCTAACACGACTCGGGTTTGGTCTAAATGTCGCACCGAAAATAATGAGCAAAATTGTTAATAAAGTGCTGTCAATGGACCCAATAGTCCGAAGTGCTACGGACTCTTATGTTGACGACATAGTGGTGAATGAGAACATTGTTGACGGTGATGTAGTAAAGAAGTTGTTGGAAAAATATGGGCTGTCAGCGAAACCAGTGGAGCCACTTGATGGAAGTAGGGTTTTGGGGCTTAACGTCTCAAAAAGAGATGGCAAGTTGATGTGGACCAGAGACAACAAGATAAAAGCTTTGGATAAAATTGAGACCAAGAGGGATGTGTACTCCTTGTGTGGGCAGTTAATCGGACATTTCCCGGTGGCTGGTTGGCTTCGACCAGCATGCAGTTTTCTTAAGAGGCAATTGACAGATTTGAAATGGGACGATGTGGTGGGCAACCGAATCAAGATAATGTTAGGAGATATAATGGAAAGCGTAAAAGAAAAGGATCCTGTGTTTGGAAAATGGGCAGTGTCATCTAGTGACAAAGGAACTGTGTGGTGTGATGCTAGCAGCTTGGCGATCGGTATTTGCATTGAAATTGATGGTGAAATAGTTGAGGACGCGTCTTGGCTAAGGAAAGAAGATGATTCGGCGCATATTAACTTAGCTGAGTTAGAGGCTTTGTTGAAAGGAGTGAACTTAGCTTTGAAATGGAATTTGAAGGAGTTATACTTGGTCACAGATTCGGCCACCGTTTATGCTTGGGTAACATCCATATTAACAGGAGACCGACGTATTAAAACACATGGGATGGGTGAAGCTCTTGTAAGAAGACGGTTGGGTTTGTTAAAAGACCTCATATCAGAATGTGGCCTTAAGGTGAGGATGGATCTGGTTAAATCGCAATTTAACAAAGCAGATCGCCTGACGAGAGTTCCTAAAAAGTGGTTGGCAAGAGAGGAGGAAAAGACCAGTATTGCAATGATGGGTGAAGAAGAGGATGAGGATAAACAAAAGTTGGTCAAAAGAATCCATGGTCTGCATCACTTTGGTGTTAATCGAACTCTTTTCACAGTTAGGCGTTGTTACCCGGCCGTTGAGTTTAGTAAACAGGACGTTGACTGCGTAGTCAAATCATGCAAAGAATGTTTATCTGTTGATCCATCCCCCATCAAATGGAAGCCGGGGCACTTGGATTGCGACAAGAATTGGCACAGGCTTGCGATTGATGTGACTCATTATGGGTCATATAAATTTCTTACAATTATAGATTGTGGTCCAAGTCGGTTTTGCATTTGGCGACGGATCCCAAGTGAGACTAAAGAACAGGTAGTAAAAATCTTACTTGAACTGTTTTCAGAACGAGGTCCACCCCAAGAACTATTAATGGACAATAGTGCAACATTCAGATGTGAACAAATTGAACAACTGTGTGAGGAATGGGGGGTTATCCGTCGTTTTAGGTGTGTGAACCGTCCGTCCGGCAATGGAATCGTTGAACGAAACCATAGAACGATAAAGAGAATGGCAACAAGAACCAGAAGAAGTGTCCAAGAAATGGTATATTGGTATAATCTAACACCAAAAGAAGATTTGAATGAAGAGTCGACACCAAGCTCTAGATTGTTCTGCTACAGGTGGAGGTGTAAGGGCGAACCTGTAAATTGTGACGAGCAACTAAGAACTGAGTTTTCACCTGATGAACCTGTGTTTGTCAAGCCTAAAAATTCCTTATGTACTACGAGATGGAAGCCTGGTGTGGTCTCACGGCAGCTCTCACAAACCAGTGTAGAGGTTGATGGTATGCCACACCATATTGCTGATGTTCGTCGTGCTGGTGTTGACACCACGGGGGCGTGTGCTTGTGATATAAATTAGTCATCAGCTGTTTGATATTGTGAACATTTTTATTTGTTTATCTTTGGATGATTTTTATTGATTCTTGTTGTCAAGGAGAAATCAATATTTTCCAGAGTTGGATTGTTCTGATGTGTAGAAAATGTTAGTTTGTTAAAGCATTAAATATCTTAATTATTTTTTTAAATTTGCATGTTGATTTAATTACAGTTTTATTTAGAGATTTTGATACGTTTAATGTATTTAAGGAAGTTATTAATTTGTATTAAATTTTAATCATTAGAAAGTAGGTAAACGTAATCTGTAATACTTGTTAGGTAATATTTCCTAAAAAAATTACTTATTTCAGGTCGAATTCTTAGTATTATGAGATCAGTTAACATTACTATCCCTGCATTTATATTTACTCTTTTTAAAATTACAACCGATCCAGAAACAATTGTGATAATAATGTTATGTAATCGCCCCAATGTTAAGCACATCAAGTGGTGATGTAATAATCAATGTTTAGCATATCCCGTTGACATTTTCCCACAGATTGCGTCAGTCGTGTTAAGTGTTTGGATGTAAAAAGACTAATGTTTAGTTTTGTTACAATTGCAATGGGTTTTTACCTACTTTTTATATAATTGTATTAAAATAATAAACTTTTAAACGGACGTTAACGTTGAAAAAATATACTGTAGAGTAACAATTTTAAATATATACGAATACTAGTAGAGTGCCCGTCCTTCGTACGGAGTTGGCGTATAAGTATAAAATGCTTATTGCAGTTATACTCGTGCTTTTTTATTGGGAAAGGACACGGTTTAGTTATTTTAACTTACGGTATGTCATAGTATAGCACATATACCATAGCCGTCGTAATTAATGTTCTACCACTGCGCCTAAACAGTAGAAAAAAGTAAAATTCTCATAGTTTGTCACAGATTTTTGTTGCTGCTTGGTTATAACTAGCTGTTGTCATAAATGCAAATAAAATAATATTGCTGCACCCTTTTGACAAACCTTATAAAATGTTAATGATATTGAATATAATCATTGATTTAGTAGAAGTCATTATAGTTTCATATTATGAACAGTAGAGTTGTTATAATTTATAAGTAACAGAAGAGTTATTATGTTTTGCGGGGTGGCTGCACTGTGCACTGAGCCCTGAAGTGGGATGATTCGTCACGGCTCCGTCTTCTATGTCCAACAGCGATCGTAAGTGGTTCTCTAGTAAATTTGTCCACTTTTCTAACGTAACGGTTAGGTTACGACAATAGACAAATAGAACAAATATATATCATAGAACCAACTTGTGTAGTTGAAACAGCTGACAAAATTCTTTAATTCCTTTCAAATATAAATACTCCAAAGGTTAACATGGGAATCTGAGCCACTGGGGCAGAGTCCGAGGGCAGTTTGAGGAAGTGAATTGGCCTGTGCTAAGTAGGTGCATAATCTACCTTTGTGTAAAAAACTTCAACCCTGTCGGCTCAGTATTTTTCGCATTTACTTGTCACAAACATCCATCCATACGTCCAAACTTTCTCACTTATGATATTGGTAGGATACTGTTGATTTGATTGTATTAATATATAAATATTAATACCAAGTTATTGAAGTCATTTTACATGATAAAAGGAAAATCTATAAGAATAGAAATAGCAAATTTATCTTTATTTTTAAATAATGTGAATTAAAAAAAATCATAGTTTAGCGAAAAAAGTATAAATTAGGATAGCTCGTATTTATAAATGTAAAAATCAGAAAATTTTAACTAAACATATGTATGAATATAGCATATAATTATCTTGTAGACGAATTCTATGGAATATTTCATGTGCAATACTATAACTGAATTGTTCAAACGTAATTATTTAAATCAGGACATAAGAAATGTCATGTCAATCGTATACGTAGATATCATTAAATTACTTTAAAAATCTCGCAATATCAAATACTGCTAAATATCCACAAGCTTCATATTCGTCCAGCTTCTTCTTCCAGCATCACTCTCCGTAGAAATATAAACACAACAAATCTCAGATTGACACTATTAACCCAAACTAATCAAGCAGGTTCATTTATGCAACACAACCGCGACATGGGTTTTCAATAACTGTATAAATCGAGATAGCCATCAAACCGTGCCTTGAATATTAATAGGCTCTTGGTTACTATCAGCATCAGGCTTTAGTGATGCTGCAGTAGACATCAGCATATAGTTAAGAATCAGCAGACTCAAATACGTGGTTTATAGAGCTCTTCAAAAATATGTTATTTATAGCGCTCGTGTTGAATATCAGAATCGATTATATCTTTGGGAAAAGGTTATCACACTTTTATGATTCCTTGAAAAGAATGATTTACTTTGGAAAATGGTTTCTAGCGATTAATTTACTAAATAATTATTTAAGCTGAGCAGTTGACTGTCTTTAGTAGTAATGGTCAAAACCAGACAACTCAAATTTCAAAACCAAATGAAAAAAAAAAACAATTTAAAATTTCGAATTTTGAAACCTAAACGCAAAACTTTATACTTGTGTAGGTTACACAAAATATAGAATTATCTTGCAATCATGCATATATAAATTCAAATATATTACTGCGCAATCAAAACTGAATAAATTGGACTCCTTACCCTGATCTGGGCCTAAAAGCATGACTAATCCATTTCTTTAAGAACAAAAACATAATTGCTTTATAAACAACAAACACTGATATAAAATTATTCCAGACATTGCCATAATATCATAAAAACGAGGCAAATACTTGAATAAATAAGCAAATCGAATCTCAAAACCAAAACTTTTACACATGTTGGTGGTTTTGAGATTTGAGATTTGGTTTTAACACATCAATAGTCCGTAAGGAGAATAGTTGGTAGCACTGGGCCCAGCTGTCCATCATGGACCTTCAATGGTCCTGGCTAAAGCAGCTGGTTATCTTAGTCGGTAATAATCTCCATTTTACACTCACCCTGTGCATTCTTATTCAGCTTATAACACGTACACTAAGTACTAGTAACAACTATGTGATGTATTACTAGGAACTAATATTTTTAGGGACAAGTTTGCCACTTAAAGTCCAAATAAGGTCATAGTAAACTTATTGAAAAATTATTTGTCATTTAAACTATTTTTCTTTCAAAGGGTGGTTGACCCTTAAGCTCTTTGAAACTCTGAAAAAACTCAACAAGCTTTGTTTAGATTTCAATTCTGGTGATGGCAAACACTCTCAAAAGTGCACTAAAAGATATTAATCCAAGTTATATGGGGTTTTAATCCGTTGTTGAAGCAAAATGCGCATCGTCGCATCCAGATATTGACCTAGGTTTACTGACCCGTCAATGTAGGCCATTCCCTTCGCTGTTTGTTCAGCATTTGAATACGCGTGATTGTGAATTAATGAGAGTTGCGAAATGAACGCATCAACCAAACGGTCAAAAACCTCTCTAATGCCGTATTTCACAACATCTCGCAATATTGAACACATAATTTTATTCTGGTATAAAAGCTATTGAATGCCAGGAATACAATTATTAGGCTATGTTAGGTTTTGTTGTAGGTTGGATCGCTAGCTTAGGCCAAACAGCTCTTTACCCCGTGTAAAATAATTGGAGATGAAATGTTGTTTAAGGATATTGTCAGAAGACAGTTAAAATACAATTTATTGTTCCCAAAGTAACTTCATCACACTTAAACCAGTATCCAATAGTCATAGGTTTAGAGTGAGAACTTTTATGCATGCGGTGAAGAGGATGATGACATTCTTCACACACAACAATAGAAGAAAAATACATCTGTCTTAATAATTAATTATGTTGATACTACCAATATAAGAATTGTGTTTGATTATACGTTAGTATAATATGGCAATTATTTGGACTACTCCAACGTTATGTATGCCCATATATAATGGCAATGGAAGAGAGTAACGGTCCTAATAAGATAATTAGGTAGCGAGTTAAATTGGTTATGGTTATACAAAACAGGAACTGCTATCTTACGTTTTGTTTAAAATAAGGTCATCAACTGGGAAAGGCCAGCGTAAAGAGCATTTAAGTCAATTTTAATTCTACGCTAATTCAAGTGAAACTCTTTGAACATTTTATACAGAGTCGAGTTATTCATTACTCTGGCAAAACATTTCATAAAATAGTCACAATATGTGATAAAATGCTAATATTCTGGAAACTCTAATTATTCCGACTGTAGAGCAATATAGTAAAAGACAGTTAGGGATTCCTAGATCAACGTTAGTTAGTAACGAGACCATCAGGAACCGTTACAAATAACAAATAACATCTCTACAAGCGTAGAGGGTAAAAAAAATGAAAAAAGTCTTTTCTGTAAAAAATACCACTATGGGTTATCGACAAAACGAATAAAAACTAAATTTAGCTGGTGAGTCTATTATTATAAAGGGGGGACTGAGAACAACAACAAAATGACGCATAAGTGTTAATGACTGTACCGTGAGCTAGAGGGTGTGGCAAGGTCAGGACGAGGCCTTGGGGGCGGGCGTGGTGGCGCTGGGCGGCGCGGCGGGCGGCAGATCCGGACTGGGCGGCTAGCAGGTGACCAGGAGGCTACGAGGAAGAGTGTGCATAGGTCAAGTTGAGGGATACTATCGGTCGAGATTGGTTTGTTTGTGTTGCGTCATTCAATGAAATGCACAAGGGTTTCGGTGCCGAGTTTCCATCAGCTTGTAGGTCAAGGCTAGAATAGGATTTTTGCCCTGTTATGGGGTTTACTTATGAGTTTAAATTACTGAGTTTAAAGATTGATTAAAAATCGAAAAGCAGCGGGGTATAAACCTGCAACTTCATAGGCAGGCTAAAGAAGCGGACCAAACGGCAGAAGTATACATCGATGTACAGTAATAACTCTATCGATTTTAGTATATGGTGAAGTAACTGCAGTATAGAACATTTTCTCATAAGGACATACTGTAGTACAGCTGGCCAGCTGAGGTTTGCAACGTACTTTACAATTCTGTTTGACTAACCACCTTGTATTCGATACATCTCGGTAAACCATAGCTGATTTACTAAATTGTACAAAGTCGGGTTTATAAATGGAATAGAATCGGTAAACTTACAATAAAATGACATTTGTTTTGAATTCAGAGCTCTAGCTCCTGTTAAACTTAATTGTTTGGGAGGCAAAGGTATAAACACTAAAAAGGGGATGTAAATTGCACAATGTTAGACAGTGTAACTAAAATAAACTGTACTATTTCATCCTTGGTTTACTGACAGGGTATGGGAACCCTGGCCCCCTCTAGCGTGATAAATTGACAAAAATAGTAACTGTTGGTAGTCTTTTATCAAGACCGAGAGAATTTTCAGAATTGAATATGAAATATTGTTTAACATTATGGTATACCCTATTTTATAACTCGATATAGTTAGTTAGAGTCGTATTATTACGCACTAAATTTTCCGAAAAAGATGTATACTTTAGCATTAAATATTTACATTAAACATTTATTAAATTTTAAATCAATATATTACAAGACTTTCCCATGCATGAACTTCATTGTCTGTAATTTGTCAACCCTACATATGTCACAGAATGCACTATTTTACACATGTTATTTTGGTTTTAATTGTGCCTGTAAACAAATTAGCTTGGTAGTTCCTGTAAGTAGAGTTGTGGTGACCACAGATGTTATGACCACATGGATGTGGTTGAACCGGTGGTTTGATTATGATTAGCGGTCCAGTGACAACCGCATATGTGGTTGATTGCCAATCATAAGTCACCTACGTTGTGTTACTGTGTAGTAAACTATATTAGTATCCACGGATAAATAGTATCGTTTGGATACATCTTATAATTTAAAATTGATATATTATTAACGTGTTACTTATCTAACAATTATGTGTACTAAACGAGCATTGTCTTTACTAAGACATAACAACGTTTTTAATAACACTTTAAAAGTCATAAATCAGATCCGTGGCTTATATTTGATTTATGACGTTTATTTATACTGTGCAGTCTGGCGCTCCTACCCCATTAAATTCCCTCTTAAACAAGCACCACTTCAGTACTTTGGAATCAGCAAGGCGCTCTCGTAAAGGCGCTGTTAAATAACTACTAAACCACATGATTGGTCATAAAATGATGATTACACATTACAGTGACCGTTGTCCAAGAATGGTGTCCGCCTCCAGGTACCCCGGCTGTGGGCTCTGCCCCCGTGGGTGGATCATGGAAGGAGAGCAATCCCGGGTCTGCGTTGTGAGTAGGAGTGGAGTAATGAATCGACACATGTACAAGGGAATATGTGAACTACAATTACATGGTTGAAGGTCTCAGCTAGTACCCTATACTGTCTATGGTTTCATTACGGTGTTCAGTTCATTTAACAAACAAACATTTTCCCAAGCGAAGGATGGGCCAGACAGCTCGTATATATTTGTTAATTATATAAAACAATACTAAGAGATATCACAAAAAAAAAAATAAAATAAAAAAATAGTAGTGCAACTTTACAACTCACCTAAGATTAATGGTCTTTTAAAAAACGAAAAATATAAATCTTAATTAATGGAAAAAAGAAAAAAAAAACAAAAAGCCTTCTTACTTGACCTTGCACCTTAAAATATAGTAGATTTTAGTAATTTCAATTTAAATAATGTATAGTATTTTGTAACGTATAGTAACTGTTTCTTATTGCTAATGTAAATAGTAAGTAAAAATAGACCTGACAGTATTCATGTAAATAATTGTGTACTGTATGATGAATAAAGACTTTTTGAATCTTGAATCTTGAGTGTTGAGAACAAACAACATTTTAGTTTTAAAATAGGATTAACCATTGAATACATATACTCCTCCATAAAACGTTTATATGTCTGTTCGTTTACATTATGATTTTAAATAGAGCCATGGCTAATAGTAAAAAAATCAATGTAAACCCATTAAAGATTACAAAATGAACACATCATTATTTTACCAAGATGCCATAAAGGGAACACTATTTTTCTAGCAAAGCTAAGCAAAAGCAGACCCGAAAGGACGCCATTGCATTCTCTATGATAAGTAAACTGATTAAACAGCTGTTAAAGAGATTTCCGAGTCCTGCACCTGTCTCCCGTGACGTATGCTCAAGGATATGTCAGAACTAGCGTACTCTACTGGACGACCTTGATATAATTGCAGTATGCACATTTTTACAAGATGCAAGAAACTCGAACAGTCTTTATTATCCAGGAACTCATTCATGTAGTAGCAATGTGTTGCGTAGTATGTTGTGGCCATTGATAAATCTGTTGCTGAACTACATGGAATTAGTGAGTGACTAGAAACACATTTTAGGACTTTGAGCATGTCACCGCGGAATCGATTCACTACTGTAGTTTAATTTCTAGTGTAAACAATTGATAGCGAATTGATAAGAGAAAAAATTTCAGAGAGCAAAAGAGCTCCACATGGTAAAATTACAGAAAATGATAGTTTTTTACAATTGATGTATTATGTTAAGTTATCTACCAAATTATTGAAAGGCAAGTAAGTATGTTCGGGAAATATTGCTATTTCATTATGAATTGTTGTTAGACTACCAAAGATAATGCCACATGTTTCTACAACAAAGACGGAAATACTTATCATTTTCAATTTGTTTACATATGCTAAAACCTAAACTCGACTGATTATTCTGTTATTTACTAGTCTCCTGCATTTATGCGCCATATGGATAACGAGTTCACCAAGGTAGTATGCCTACCGCATACCTAACTGTTTATAGATTACCGCATGGCCAGTAAAGCGGCCTACACACTACACGTGCATTGCACGCCGTGCCATTTTTTATATTGGCACGACGTGCTTTGGCACGGCACATTTTGCCCACACACTTGATCTTCAGTGTAGCCTGCAACGTGCTAAATTACATCGTCTGTTCGTACAAATGAAATGCAGAACACACACATGTTTTAAGGACATAGGACATGATTAATTGATTAATCATTAAAAATAGACACAAGGCAGCAGCACTAAGCCGCCTAGTGCCTAGGTTAGTCCAGACCTTGCACCTCGCTTCCGTACAGATATATGCCGGCAGGGCACTTGGTTCACAATACTGTGGTGGAGGATGTATGCTCTATGATATATTATATATAGATCTAACTGCGTCTCGGCTCACGCATCACATACAGCGCGCGATCCATTGTGTTATAATCTCGATGGTCGTGCCAATGATCAATGATCAATTATTTAAGATGGGGACGCCACTATGTGCGTATTTAATATGTGTTGCAAATGGCCAAGACAAAATGCCGTTGATTCACTAATAAGAAAGTACTATTATAGGGTCAAACCCTGTCAAAAGTGGTTGAACTACCAGCACGTGGCACGGTGACCGCCTACACACTAGCACGTCAGAATGGCGTGCTTTGGCACGGCACGCCAAAAATCAAACTCGTGTTGATTTCCACCGTGCCATGCCAATGCACGCCGTGCTTGCACGGTGTTCACCACACACTTGCACGTTTCGTCAGTTTTTGGCACGACGTGCTTGCACGGCGTGCAATGCACGTGTAGTGTGTAGGCCGCTTTAGAGTCAAAACATGGTTAAGAGCAGTTGTATAAAACGTAAAATACATGTAAAATCGACAAATAAAAAATGTATAACCAAACTACATTTGTTGCTACTGTATTACCTCTACCTAGTGACATGTTCATGCCTGGTTATGTTAGATATCAATGTATCCACATCCGCTAACCACAAGGAGGTTGTCAACTTCAGTTTTGATATAGTCCAGGATGCGGTGTAAGATCCGGGGTGGGGTTACGTTCATATATCGTTCATCCGCCTCTACAATACACCGACACTCCTATAGTGGAATACTTATCACATTATGAGTCAATAATTCAGACTTTGGTTCAAAGAGACTGCAGAAGTCCATGTGGATTTTTGAAAAGTGAGTGTAGACCTATTTATTTCCTACGATGGTTTATGTGATGTGGCTAAGAGGTTATAGTGCTCGCCTTCAAATCTGAAGGTTAATAGTTCTATGCCAAAAGGGGTCGATTCTGTGGTACCACATGCAATTTAATTTAATTTTAGCTGTAAATTAACGTTGCTATCCAACAAAAGGTAGGTTCATTAAGGAAGGTAGGTTTATTGATATACTGTAGTACTAATTTATCACTTGTTATTCTTTGTATTATTGTATATGTAGCAATCTCGTTAATTTTGTATCTATTTTGAGAAATGGATTAAGCCGTTGGGAAATAAAAATAATATAATAATAATAATTAATAAAATACCCCCAACGCAGCAAACCTACAGACTAAGCGAATTTTTATTTACCAGGCTGGATTTCTACTTAAGTATTCCCTTAAAATTATTAGATTTATTTGCTATTTAAATAACATTAATTTTAATGAGTACTTAGGTTTGCTGCTCAAGGGAAGGTATTCAGGTGTGTGTTTATTGAAATGTTGATAGCTTAGCATGTATTAAATAAAATTGCCAAATTTTATTAAAATATATCCATAAACAAGCAAACTACAACAGTTTATTTATCCTCCATACACGGGAATTTTAAATTTATAATCTTTTGAATTATCTCTGTAACCGTTAAGAATACAACAACGCTTCAACATATTAAATAAATTATTTTTTTAAGCTCTACAAAATGGGTTGGAAAGACATTTTATATTTTGTGCTTTTAGGGTCAAAAATTATAAAAACAAATTTTTTCTTCATAAAACCCCGTTCCAATAGTCTGATCCATTATGCTGGTTCGCAAACTCATTCGAATAAACGTAGTTTTACTAATTTGTACAAAATTTCGTCAAAATCGGATAATTTTTGCTCGAGTTATTGTGCTAACGGACACACACATTCACACACCATGGACTGTGCTAATAACCTCTGGGACCTCATGACGAAAATGAAAATCGGTCCCGGGTCTAGATCTTACCATGAGAAATACGTTATAGCTTATTCCCTATATGGGAAATTTGCTAAATGGTCTATGATTGATATTACCTGGTCCAGGGGTTCGGTCGAAGTTTTACCAAAACGTAGAAATGTCAATACCATTCAAACCCACGAAATGTTAAATAAAAAAAATAAGTTAGATTGAATTCAGTAGGAATTCAAGAACAGAAACTACTTCTATATTTAGGTGTGCAAGCGCATCAAAGTCCATCAGCCCGAAAGATATATCTGCATTGTTTGCTATGCAGCGTGATCATGGGTAACGAATTGTTTTATCAAGTTTTTATTTTTTTGCCCCCTGATGTGAGAAGCTGTTGGCCTCGACACGCCCAAACCAGCGGTCTAAAAGAAGATGGCAGCCCCGCGGCACAACTGGACTCGTAAACACCTTTTTCTGTTTTTCGGAATTCTCTCGAAGGAAGACTATTCAAAAACCGCGTCTTAAAGAGAATTTTTGCTTTAGAACAGTCTGAATATACATATCGATTCATGTTTCGTTTGCATTCACTAAGTTGAATGTATGTCTGATGGATGTCTATTTGTATGTATTTCACCCATTAACAAACTTTGTGTTGGCTAAGAAAATTCGGGAAGTGCTTCTCAATCTACAGCCGATTTCTGTCTTATTGCCGATCTTAAAATACGCTGTGACCCCAGGGCTCTAATTTCATCATGTTAAAAGTTTGAGAATTATTTTATAGATTGTTTCAAGAAAATTTTTAATGGTTATATGCATTTTTCAAATTTTACTTACTTAGTTAAAGGTACAGTTTACATGCTTTATTGTACGTTGCCATACAAGTAATTGAGATAAGTAAGTTAAATGTTGAGAAAATTACTTTTTACGCTTATTTATTCTATGATTATGGTATTTATTCTTATTCAAGATACATAGTTATTAGAAATGTGTAAAATTACCTTCATTGGTAAAAATAAATTTTTTTTGGCAGCATGAAATGGATTGTTTTGATAATTTCAAGCTGATAACCAACTTAAGAAACTGATTAAGCTACTTCTACAATATATAAAGGTTAGGACCATGACATAATTATTACACGTTGAAAATAAGGTTTCCATGTGTGATTCCAGTAGCAAAAATATTAACTACTCTATTCATAAAATTGTCAAACATTCAAGGAAATCGGATCTGTAGAAAACAAAACTAAACATAGAACTCTATACATACTCTATTAGAACTTGTAAAAACACCATATAGAGTCTTATTTACAATAAATTCTCAATAATACTAAAACTCGTAGATATCGTTGCGTAAATGTATATTAGCTGATCGGTGACAAAGAAGGTAGGAATGCCAACATATTAGCTGGTTTTATCGTTAAAAAGTATCTTACGGTAGTTATAACTGTTTGGGTTACATAAAACACCCTGTATAAGTATTATGGCAGTAAAAAGGGTCTAACGTTAACCTTATGTAACTTATACAATTGTGTTGGCTAGAAAAGAAAAAAGGTGTCTATAATACAGACCTTAACCTTTGGATTACTGTGGTAATATTACATAAGTAGGAACTAAGTGTTGTGTTGCAGTGTCCAGGTGTTAGTAGGCAGTAATACTTCCGATACTACCTACATCGACAAGGTCAGTGACTTGCCGGGCGGAGTGCCTTTGGGCAAACATCGTATGACTTGATAGTTCAATGGATTTTCATTGAGGAAGATCTCTAATTATTAGAGAGTTCTCCTCGCCTAATGTTGTTAACTGATGGGTCACAAATTAAGGTGAGCACATTTCTGTGTTTTTATTTTGCGTTCATCTATTCCATTGGCTATTTTACGTTTAAGCACAGAATAGGGAGTACTAAATTGTGTCTCTTCATTCTGTGGATACAATAACCTTTTTACCTCCCACAAACCAAGTTGTTAACAAACTGTAAATGTAAATTCTAGGATGGAAGTCCAGCGCTTTGACCACTGGAACAGCTGTGCCGCAACCGGCGTATTGTAATAGGAATCACTTAGAAACTTGTGGTTGACGCCTGTGAAAATAATATGTAAAATGTATTAATGTCAGAATGTCAACTATTTATCAAAAGATAAAGCTTATGTTAAGCATAGACAAACCGAAAGTGTTGATCGGAAGTGTTATTACTGTTCCCTTTGTTTATGGCATTATTTATTTTAAGGATCTTTGACAAGTTTATTGCTTGTCAGAAATGTACTAAGGAAATATAAAGATTCGGTTACACATATATTGTTCTATGCAATCGTGAATACAGTGCTTCAATTACAAAAATGGGTCAGTGTATAATGTTGTACCTAACCAAAGGAAAATTTAAAAATACGTTTTTGAAATCAACAATCTATACTACTATATAAAAATCTAATGGTGTCTGTCTGTATGTGTATTACTAATAGGTGCAAAAACTACTGAACCGAATGGGCTTAAATTTAAAAAAAAAATATAGCTACCATACCAAGATTGGTAATAGGACTATTCACACTTTGATACTGACCGTGGGCTTTGCCCCTTGGCTTTAAAAGTTCTGAGGTATATTAAGATGGTACAAAGAGGTATATTAGGATGGGAGGATTTGTGTTTTACTTTGAAGAAGATTGACGAAATAATTGTTCATTTAAATGAAATAATTAGTAGTTTTTAAACTTTAAAATTGAAAATGTAAAACATAAAGAAAAAGATATGTAAATAAGGGAGATGATGGTAAACTATGTATATGAAAATTTTATTCGAAAATTGTTTATCATTTTAGCCTACACAAGATTTAACATTAATCAAAACCAAAATGACGGTTTCCACTACTTGCCAGATTAAAAAGCCACAAACGTTCCTATAAAGACCATTAAGGGTTGAACTTTTTTCTGAAAGTGTTGGCGGATGTGTAACTATTTTATACAACAGATGTAAAGAACAAAATGTTTTAGTTTCGTGTCCTCTTCCCGTTGCAAAGCACGGTTATAAAAGCTAGTTTATTTATATGTAGATTTGGTTTGAGTTCAACTTGAACAAAAATGTTCAGATGAACGTAAAAGTTGTATGCTTTTTTCCGTAGTATTTGCATATTCGTTTTTTAAACTCAAGGATTGTGTAGCCATACCTGCTAGGAACAATATTCCAATTCTCGTCTGGAAAATGTTCTTTAACCATTCAAATTTTGAAACTATACCAAAACCTAATTGTTTGAGTTTTGTCTCTATATCCTATCATCGCTCAATGTTGTAGGTGAAATTATAGATGAGCTGTTTGTTTGCTGATACAGTATTAGCAAAATAATTAAGAGATACCGAATATGCTTCAGCTTTCGTCACATGACAGATTAAGTTTGGAGGTAGACATATCCTTGACCTTATGTGAACTTCCCGGGCGACTTTTAGGCGTGGCTACGCCTTTGGTGGTAAATCTATGTTATTGTTCGCTACATTCATCACTTCATACAAAAAGTGTTTTAATTTTTAGATAATAACCTAATTAGTTGCTACGTAAAAAGGTTAAATTGTAAACTAATTTGTGTTGCGTTATAATTTCAATATTAACTTTTTCACATTTTTGATCGAATCCATAGTTTGAACGAGTTGAATTAGAATGTACTAAATAATATTCTTACATTGGAACTACTACATTTGGAGCTAAGTTAAAACAAGGATCTTCAAAATCTTATAATTAAGAACGTACAAAAGCACTTAGTTGAGATACTAAATTTGAATTGATCCTGTACTCTTCTTACCTACATAATAAACATAATCTGTAACTTAGATAATTGTTGTTAGATAATAATATGTAACTGTTGACTTAAATAATTGCATGCTATACCCTTTAACGAACTCTATGCTTTATTTACTAAATCAATTGCCAAAAGTCATAGACGAGTTTCATATTTCCAATTATTGTAAAAAGGACAAGAAAATCAGGGATTAGATATAATGTAATGTTAAATTCGTTTTATAACGTACAATCCCATGGTGAATACTAATAAGAACTGTTTTTGTAATAACCAAATAATAATTTTTATAATTCTAGACTCGCACCTAGTTGCAAAGCTACTGGTTTCATATAATCCAAAGATACAAGTATTTAAAACAATCAGTTATATTTAATTGGTGGAGCAGTCAATTAAATCAATCACGCTTTTTTCTGAATTATTAAAAAGTGCAGTGCTATCAGTCTGTCAATCAATGTAACAATAAATCAGGAAACCTTGACATTTTCATAAATAATTAAACTATACGGAAATCACTAATGTGTCATTGGTTGAATACAAGATATTCCATTATAACAGAATTGTCACTGAAGTAAACTAGGTACTTAATTTAATTCACCCAAGTGTATTGTTTAGTCCAGAGCAGACACTAAAGGTTTTAATTGGAATCAAACTGTTCATAGCCAAAGAAAAGACCAGGGGTGAAGGGCTAAACGAGTCTGTGTAAGTTTTTGATACAGTGTTATCAAAATTCTCTTTGTTAGCTAGTGTTGACAGTGGTAAATCACTAGCTCATATTATTCAAGTTAATGTTGAATTATTATTTATATCATTTGCTTATTGTTCAACCTGAACAGATTGTAAATTAAATAAAGTTAAAAAAAAGGAAACTCAATACTTATGAAACCATAGCAATGTAAGTGTCATTGAATAAATAGTTTTTATTGAATAAATAGCGAAGAAAATAAACCATAAATTTATAAAGACAGTAGAATACAAGATGAAGGAAGGTTTAACTCACAGGTTTATCCAATCTTGGTGATATTTTATGAGAACCAAACAAACTCAAAAGGTTACTTAATTAGTGACGATAAAAAGAAAGATTGCCTTAAAACTATCAATTCGTAAGTAAGTTGTAAGAACTGAGTGCTGGCTTAAATTGTATATTTAAACTTAACTGTTTGTACCTTGTTATTATACTTTCGAGCCATGCTATATTATGTAAGGATGCATAAAAATAAAATAGAAATTCCACGAACTATACCTAACTATTGCCCAAATTATATGAAAATGTATCTACACTTAGACACATTTGAGCTTGTATTCAGTTCGTTTATATTTTCCAGGAGTTAAATACGTGAAGTGTTATCCTTTGTGAATAAGATTGAGGCAGCTAGTACTGTACACACTCTGCAATAAATTGTTCAATTTGATACTGAGGGAGTAGTATACCCTAAGAAAACCCTTTTTTATTGTATTTTAGTAATTCAACTCTATTCACGAACTAATATAATACTTTGGATGAAATTTGGGAAATTGAATTTTAAATTTGCGTTTTACTCTTCTATTTATAGTTGAATAGACAGTAACATATGTTTAAGTTAAAATAATTAAGGAGTTTTCAACAAATAAGATGATATCTTATTGATCCCGTAATATCTTACCACAAAAACAAATAAAATACTAATTGATACATGTACACGCAGTAAAACTTTTAAGAGATACGGAAGATACATAATTATGTAAAATAGATAATTACTGTTCTAGACTGTAAAAAACTGATTGTATTGAGTATGTTACAATAAAAATCTTAACCCTCCATAATAAGATGATTTAGATAAGAGATCTGAGATAAAACTCGTATATTATTTGAGCATTTCATTTGGTTAAACCAGTCTCTATGACAACGCAAAAACTGGTTTTGCTCCAATTTGACTCCTCAAAAAAGCAGTTTCCGATTGTCTAGCCTACACAATCTTTTTGGACAAGAACTTCCTTTGCATATGTAACTTGATTATTCCAATACTGTAGGCCTATCGGTATAAGGCCAAGAAGATACGATGTGCAAGAAATGAACGACTTTATTCATAAATTCTATGTTCATGTATGTGTATGTTGGTTAATATTTGCTTTGGAATACTACTTATAATTGGGAGCGATCAAAGCAAGTTAAAGCTTGTTAAAGTTAATAGTTAATAGTTTGACTAAAGTAAAATGCACTGAATATTCAAATTCTAGATAATAAAGTACAAACCACGGTAAATATTAAAATAGGTAATAATAATGAAACTCAACCATGTAAGAGTAAAGCCGAAGCCACTGAGAAGTCTAACCTCAGAGTTTTATTGCTTGTCATATAAAGTTAGTAACGAACTACTTTTCCCTAACGAATTAAGTATCAAGCTTTATTTGCTTCTGTCTGAAGGTGTGATGGTCTACATGACAGCAAATTAAGGATTATTTGTTTTACACGTAATTTCTTCTAAGAAAATTGTATAGGCTATATCTTTATGTACTGTATATCATAACCCTTGGTATGTGGCAAACATTTGATGATACGCAATATTTGAAATTAATATATTTTAGGCATATATTTGATTAATTATCTTTCAGAAATTACTTTAATAATTTCATAAAAATACAAAAATTCCTGGATGATATTTTTTGTATGGTCTATAGGCCTACAATCAAAGAATCATATCTTATTCTACGATTACTCAGATCAGAGCTGTAATTGTAATGCAAATCATATAAACGTCTAAAAACCTAAATTAATATCATAGCACATGTAAAAGACATTCGTTTGAAATCAAGGTATAAGGAATAAAGAGGAAAAAATCCATTTTGTTGTATAAAATATTATAATTAGTAATAGTATTATCACAGTTTGCAAAACAGCATTTATAACTTAGGTAGGAAAGATAATTCAAATACTAAGACCAAGTCAATATTTTATACTAATTTGATAACCTAGGTGGAGAGTGAGGTTTAGTGAGCGGGTGCGGCGTAAGCGTAACCGTGAGCTGGGTATGCGTAGGCGTGGCGAGCAGCGTAGGCGACGGGGGCGGCGTAGGCCAGAGGAGCTGGGGCAGCGGCCACAGCGGGGGCACCGTAGGCAAAGGCAGCGGGGGCGTGGATGGCGGGGGCAGCTGCGGCGTACGCTACTGGAGCAGGAGCGGGGGCGGCAACAACAGCGGGTCCCTGAACAACAGGAGTGCGTACCTCAACCTCGCTAACGACGGGAGTGTGGACTGGGACATCCACGGGAACCTTCTGGACAGAAACCTCAGGCTCCACCTGGGTTACCTGGGGGACGACAGTCTGCACGGACCTGGCGGGGGCGAGGACGGGGGTCTGGGAGACCGTGTGAGCGGGGGTGGCGAGAGCTCCGAGGTCTGGCTTGACAACGGTGGAAGTGTAACCAGTCACCACGGGTGTCTCGGCGTAGTGGACGGTCTTGGAGATGGCGACAGCCGGTGCCACGGCGGGAGCAACTGCAACTGCGGGGGCGGCATAAGCTACTGGGGCAGGGGCGGCAACAGCAGGAGCAGCGTAAACCGCAGGTGCAGGAGCGGCGTAAGCTACGGGGGCAGGAGCGGGGGCAGCGTAGGCCACAGAAGCTGGAGCAGCAGCGTAGGCGACAGCGGGGGCGGCGTACCCGTACCTAGCGAGAGGCAGGGGTGCCGCAGCGGCGGGGTAGACGGCTGAGGGCTTGGCGGCCACCACGGCCAGGAGGGCAGACAACACCACCTGCAAAAGAAAGCCAGGGTTACTTAAGTAATTTTGTATTTAGGAACATCCTCTTCCTTCACTCAAGTTTTGTTATGCACCTAACAAAAGATAATATGGTGGTAAGAACGAATCTTTAAGAAAACGTGGAATCGCTTGAAATCATTTGTTTTAAACGATTTTCAATGTAGCTGTGATTGTGTCTTGCCCCTGATTGACAATATAGGTGTGGGCATATAAAGTTAAATGCTTTATTATTTCCTCCTGTACAATTCGGACGTGAACCTTGAACGTTTTTATATAAACTTCAACTAATGTGGAATTGTGAATATGTGCTTATCAGATTTAAAAGGATAATATTTACTGAGGATGAGGTGTTAACAAAATCGTGATACACATTTTAATAGTTATTACTACGGTTTAGGGTTCGTACAATAATATTTAAATATAAATTAATGCCATTTAGTTGATAGACACTAAATGTAATTTTATAATTGAATGAAATGTGATTTTGAAATTGAAGCTATTAATAGAACTATACGTATTATTAAATATCTCTATTAAACGAGCAATAGAGCAATGCCTGTTGCTATGGACGCCTTCAGTGAAACCGTGCGTTGGAGTCTCTAATGCAAACAACATCCCCCCCAAAAATAACCTCTACATTTAGTATTCAAAACCAAAGTAGGAATTAAGTTGTTATTTTATTATTGAGTATAGTAGGTCAGTTATAGAGAAGTATGATGATAATGCATAATTCAAGAGATAATTTATAACTTGCATGACTATTACTATACAACTAACGAACTATTATTTTGCACAAAATAATCTTTTGTTGAGAAGATTTGTTCAACCATAATCAAACATCATCATATTGAGGTTGAATAAAAAAAGCATATCATACTTTGTAAAAATAATTTTTTTCTAGGAGTAACTTAGCAAGAATAAATCACCAATATTATTTGAAAATTAGTTACAAGTAGAAAGCATTTCACAAACAATTTGAAAAATGCGTTTGATTATTTTTGGTATAAGTTTTTTTTATCGTTAACCACACACAAACTTCTAAAATTAACTTGGAAACTAGTAAAGAAACAAGGTCCTGGAGAATATTTGGCATTCAATTACAGTTTACAATAGATTTTACCATATCAATGGATTCCATACGCTATATACGGTAACATCCAATACATAGATTACATGTCACACATTTATTCACTATAAGTAAAACATTTTGAGTAACCAAACTGCTCTATAATTATTAGTATTTTAAACAAAATAATTAATATTGTTTTTGAAGTAAATCCTAAGATTAATTACTCATTAATGATGTACACACTAGTGTTGTGATTGTGTACTCACCAGCTTGTACATGTTGCAGGTCTGTGAGTCTAGACTGTACCGTCGCAAGTACAGGCTCTGCGTATATATACGTCCTCTGGGCGTGGTCGGGGCGCCGTGGCATTGGCCTTGTGGAACATCCTTGTCAGGCAAAGACACCACTTTTTGGATTTTCATCATCTCAGAAAACACTTTCAGGAGGTGTACGAGAACATTTTCTTTTAGGAAGGGATCAACACAAAACGCCTTCTTAAAGATTTGTTACCCGGATTGTACGGTTGGATGGCTCAATGTTAAGTGGTTGTATTGCTCGCCTAGTAACCAAAAAGTAGCCTAATGTGATCTTGAGAAAGATGTGTAATTTTTTGTGTATCCAAATGGGTCCCAGTTGTCGATGATGATAGGGTTATTGGGCCTAATAAAGGATTATTGGACTGGTAGTAAATGGTCCTGACTAAACAAATAGCGGGTTAGTGACAAAAGCCTTACGAGGTATCACTCCATCTCACGCAATGCTCACTGTCAATTAACTTTTGTGATAAAATATGCCCAGTTTCGTTTCCATTTAAATTGCTGAAAGTAATATTTCCTTGGGGGTTCTTAGGAAAGCTAAGAAACATTTTAAGTTATGTATCTGCCAAATATACTCGTATGTAGAGTAAGTTTTAACGTTTAACTATAAGTTTTTCTAGAATTGACAAAAATTTTAAATAGTAACGTTCTAGATCACCCGTTTTCAAGATGCAGCAGAAGAAATACAGTTACTACTAGGAGCTGATATCTTGGGCCAACTTCTCACAGGTAAAATTGAACAGCTAGATCAAACTCTGGTTGCTGTTCAGACTGTGTTAGGATGGACAGTAATAGGACAATGTGGAAAAAGTTACCAGTCACTTATTAGCATTGCTAAAATGCTAAAATGCATAGTTGCTTTGCTAAAATGGACATTTCAGATCAATGGCATTTAGATGTTCTGGGCATTTCTGATCCATCGGGTAGTAAAACAAATGAGGCGAATGCATCAGATGTCATGGAGAGTTTTAACAAAACTATTGTAGTAAATAGTGAAAATAGGTACGAGGTGACTCTTCCATGGATTGAAGGCCATCCGGTGCTTATGGACAACAAAATTAGAGCAGAGAAGCGACTACATGCAGTGACGAAGAAGTTGATTAAGTTAGAAAAGTTCAATGAGTATGATCAGGTATTTTCAGAGTGGTTAAATTCAAACATTATTGAAAGGGTTGTTGAGTCCTCTGTAACTGATAGACCTGTACACTACTTACCTCATCACGCTGTGGTCAAAGAATCCAGTTTGACTACTAAGGTTCGACCAGTCTTTGATGCTTCTGTAGTTGATAGTAGAGGGAATTCACTTAACTCTTGTTTGGATAAGGGACCTAATTTAATAGAACTAATTCCAGCTCTTCTAATGAAGTTTACACACCCAATATTTCAGATATTAAGAAAGCTTTCTTGCAAAGTTCAACAAAAAGTGACCGAGACGCTTTAAGATTTTTGTGGTGGGAGCGACTTATTGGAGTCGTAAAGGAAATTTTACGACGAAACTTGGGAAATTCTTCAGTCACGCAGGAAGAACTCTCAACAATTTTGTGTGATTGTGAAGCAACTGTAAATTCAAGACCTTTGACTTATCTTTCGAATGATGATGACAGTTTACAACCATTAACCCCAGCCTTATTCTTACAACCAACATCAACAGTTGAATTACCCGATTTGGATGAAATTGAGTGTCTAAGTTTGAATAAAAGAGTGTGTTATATAAACAAATTAAGAAACCCACTACAAAGACTTTTCCCATTACAAATCACAGCTTGTGAAAAAGAGTGTATGAAAGAAAATAAACCACTTGAAGAAGAAGAAAGTATGGTTGAAAACGAAGTCTTTGATTTCGCTAAGAAGAAAACCAGATGTGGAAGAGAAGTAAAAGTGCCCCAGCGATTTTACTGATTTAAAATTGCACATGATTGGTTAGCAATTTTAAATGGGGGGAGGATGTTGTGAACTTTATTGAATGTGTTTTCACTTCATTGTTTTCCATTTGATCTGACTGTTATATTTTTTCTAAACTTCTGTGTTTTGTTTTACCACATGTTAAATATTTTGTATTGAATTAATTTAATAATTGTTTAAAAGATTCAGTTAAGACTTTGGAATAAATAAAGAAGCCTACTAATCTGTTTGTGAAATAATTATTTTATTATTTCTGGTAATTATTTCAATATTCAAAACAACCGGGATTATAATACATCTTTCAAAGAACCAGATATAAAATATAAAATAACGTATATGTAAATGATTATTAGCGTCATTACATACATAGATTTTAGTTAATGAAAATACAGTAAAAACTTTTACACACAGGAATGTGAAATTTTATTATAAAACTATGCGTTTCATAAAGTCAAGAGGAGAACCTAAGTCCATTGCCAAGTGCCAAATAATTGCCAAGGCTTACAAAGGAAAATACTTGCGATTCATTAAATAACTTAAAAACCGGTCCTCTTGGACACGACGCTGAAGGACAGTAAGTGTCCATAAAATGGGTAATTAATGTGCAGCTCGGCAAATATAATTATACAATTCTACAAGAATTAAATTGATCATACATAGGTAGTTTTATAGTCTAGCCCAATCTGTCCAACATACCAATCCCGCCAATTCCAACCCAATTCAAGGAAAGGGGGATTGTAATCTGTACAAAAAAGAAAATTCCTTTTGTTATTTACTTCGTTTGAAGGAAAAATACACAATATTCGGGATGCTTATTAAGACGGAATTTTAAGTATACCAAATGCATTGTGGTTATTGGTTAAAAGGTAGGCTATATAGATGCAGTTATATAGGTATACATTTACATTTTAAGATATACTGACGGGTAATCAGTATAATAGATCCGTTGTATATTGGGCTATATATGAAGTAAAGAAAAATATAACATAAAATATAATATGATAAAACTATTGGAACTGGTTGAGTCTGTAATATACATATATATATGTAATATACATATTTATGCTGTATATTATACAATTATGCCACATTAGTTAAACTAAAATTAATTGAAAAAAAACACATACTTATAACAATACAATATTGACCTGAAATATCCAGTTAAACTAACAAAACGTTTAACGATAAAACTGTACCTACTTATCAATAAACTACTTGAATACCTTGAAGTCGAATTAATTAGTCTTAAAGCTCAGTCAGATTATACACATTTTTATAAGTGTTTACATTTGGTTTTGACGTAACATTTTTATTATTGCATAGATTATAAGAATGAGATTTTTTAGTTAAAAAAATAACATTGATCTCTTTTGTCAACTATTAACATGGTTTAAAGTGGTTTTCCGTTGTTAAATCCTCTAATAGGACAGCAATACCCCACACTTTCAAAATCTGTAAAGCAATAAACATAAAACGCGTAATAATAAACAAATATGTAAAATAGAGATAATGTGGGTTCATTTCACTGAACACTTCTTTTCTCCGATGCGATATAAATATGAATCGTCGAACTCCTAGATGCCTCGAAACTCAGATATGCTTTTAAGAATAGGATAGCTAACCTTTTTCTTCACCAATACCAAAGTTCTATTCAACAAAAAAATAATCTCATACATCACTCGTATAAGCAATTGTTGGATTGCAAATAACGGTTAACCGATGCCAAAGTAAACAGCAACAGCAAATACATTCAATATATATTTACGGCTCGGTATCACATTTCACATTACAACCGGATATCGAAACAATAAGATCCCAACTGTAGACTAGACGTGTTACGTAGCCTTGTGCAGCACCGTGCTGAGCCCAGGTGTGTAGAGTTACATCTGTAATATGATGCACACTGCTGATTGGTCTAACCGTTATGCATACGACTCTTTCAATGATGGCACTCATTGTATATTGTGCACTACTTTGTTTACAAAGTGTCACTCAACTATTGAAAAGTAATCGTTATTCTAAGTAGTAGTAAGTTTATGGTACCAGTAACCAATTATGGTTTAATATATCTATTGCTACCAAGTTACTTGTGTAAGCTCTAAACCCTAATGTAACAATCAATAAAATTATTGTTGGAAACATCAGTATTGATGTTACACGAAAGAAGTCTGTGTCTCTAATCAAAACTGCTTTATCAAGATTGTGATCCAATCCATCCTACTTGGTGCCTCAAAAAGTAGTTATTATTTTTTACTTATTGGCTGAATATCAGTATATCAGTCAAATTATTGACCAATGTGATATAGTCTACAGGATAAGTAGTCCAAACCCAAACTTGGTTTCATGTTTTTATAAGACAAAGATTGATTAAATAAAAGTTAAATATTGAAACATTATGGTTGTATAATGTGGTAAAAAAAGTTTGAATTCCACACATTTCTTGATTGTGGTTGTCCTTTGCTTATCAGTTTGAAATGAAAACCTAACAAATATTCACCATTTACTTATCAAATATTGAACAACTACTTTTGAGATCGTCTTTGGTCGATTATTGAAGTGAATAATAACAGCTATAAAGCAATATTAGATAAGATTTTACTCAATACCTTTTAGCTGAAATTTACTCAACAATTCCAGTATATTCACTAAAAGGTATTATTTTAAACATAAAACTAACCTTCATAATATTTAGATACTAACTGACTGATAATTTCTAAGAAAACTGTACGAGGTAAAAAAGAATTTACATTTCGTGTTACTTGTATTATAGGTAATGTAATGTAAGGTCAAGTGAAATAATGCAGTTATATAAGAAAAGTCATAATAAAGTATTTTCAATATTAGCTATTATTGATCCTAAAATATTTAAAGATTTAATTATAATGTTTTATTGATAATACACGAAGGGGTTACCGTTTCCGTTGTTATCCACTTTATAATTTCCCTAAAAATATTATTTTTTCAGCATGTGTTTTTCTGCGCCTTCAATTTGAGTAGGAGACGTTGTGTCAACGATCTTATATGTATTTGACGTTTGATAGAAGAAGGCACTATGTAGTGCAATAATTATTTAATACACCTAGGCAA